AATGAGGTGACAGTCAGCGCCTGCACAGGCCATAGCAAAGTCATCAACATAGAGTGATGACCAATATTGGATGGAAGACTAGAGGCCAAATCATTTATAGCAAGGAGAAAGTGTTGTGCTCAGAACACATCCCTGGAGCACACCATCAGCTTGGATCAAGTCCGGGGAGAGCACATTATTAACCCGAACACTGAAATACCTGTCGGTTAAAAAGTTCTTAAGGAAGGATGGTAGACTGCCTCGAAGGCCTATTATTATTATTATTAAAATCAAGGGGAAGAGCTAAACCCGTAGGATTATAGTGCCTGGGGGGGGGGGATGTGGAAGGCATTCAGGCTTAATTCGGGGAACTGGACTTAAAGGCCTAAGGAGTGGGCTTGGGCCAAAATATTATATCTCCAAGTTGTGTCATATGCCTTCTCAAGGTCAAAAAAATATGGCAATAACTGAGTGGTTATTCGCAAAGGCATTACGAACATACGTATCCAAGCTCAGTAAGGGGTCTATGGTAGAACGGCCCTTACAAAAGCCATATTGACGAGTGGAGAGACTCGTGTCTCTAAAAACCACACTAAACGTCTATTTACCAGGCGTTCCATCACTTTGCAAACTGCACTGGTAAGAGCAATGGGACGATAGTGGGAGGCTTCATGACCCGTAGTACCCGGTTTGCGGAAAGGGAGAACAATGGCAGATTTCCACAGCTGTGGAAGAACTCCTTGTGACCAAATAAGACTGAAAAGGCATAATAGGACTGTAAGGGCTGACTGATGCAAATGTTGTAGCATACGAATATGAATGTCGTCGGGCCCAGCTGCCGATGATCGGCAAGCTGAGAGCGTTGCCTCCAGTTCCTGAAGTGTAAAATGCACATTATACTGTTCTCTGAGAGAAGAAAAGTCCAAGGGTGCTAACTCTCTGGTAGACTTTGAGGAAAGAAACGAGGGGCATAGATGGAGCCCCTGAGAAATACGGACCAGATGATTGCCAATTTCACTGGCAACATCCAGTGGGTTTGCTATATGAACACCGGCAACCTGCAGAACAGGAGCCGGGTCAGGAGAATATTTACCACTCAGTTTTCGTACTCTTTTCCAGACTGCACTCAGAGGAAGGAGAGGTGGTGATGGAGACAATCTCACCAGCAAGTGCGTTTAGCGTCATGACACGGCGAGCGATCGCACACTTCTTCTTAAAGTCAAGAAGTCTCTCCATGGTTCTATTTTACCGGTACCTGCCCCACGCAACGCGTTTCAAACGTACTGCACAAGCACAAGCAGGAGACCACCAAGGCACGCATTTCTGAGAATGCCTGCCCGAAGTTTGGGGTATAGAATGAGAAGCTGCGGTTAAAACGGAGGACGAGAAGAGGTGTAAAAGCTCATCAATGGAGGACGAAGAAGGAACCTCACTAAAAACAGTTAGTTGTGAGTAAAGGTTCCAATTTGCCTGATAAAATTGCCAGTGTGGGTTACAAAGAGGTGGTGAATATGAAAGGGAAGTAAGAATGATTGGGAAATGATCGCTGTCATGTAAATCCGGGAGAACAGACCAGGTGAAGTCTAATGTGGCAGAGGAAGAGCAGACTGAGAGATCGATGCAAGAGAGAGTACGAGTCCGAGGATCAAAATGGGTGCGAGTACCTGTATTTAAAACATGGAGGGGGTGGGTAGCAAGAAAAGCCTCTAACTGAATGCCACGAGAATCACAGTGAGACCCCCCAGAGGAAATGAGGGGCATTAAAATCGCCAAGTAACAGAAGTGGTGGCGGTAATGACGAAACAAGAAAGGCAATATCCGGGATAGATAATGCCCGAGGAGAGAGATACAAAGAAGAGTGTATACCACCTATGCAAGTGGATACGGGCTGCTGTGTAATGCAGCGAAGTACGAACAAAAAGCTGATGGTATGGAATATCAGTGTGTAGAAGAAGGGCACTTTCATTAAAGGTTCCATCAGGAAAAGGATCTGAAGAATACAATAAATTATAGCCTGAGATGGGATAGATAATGGCAGAGTGTAATTTTGGTTCCTGTAAGCAAACACTAACAGGGAAAAACTGGAAGAGCAACATCTGAAGCTCACCCCGATTACCCGAGGCTGCGAATATTCCATTGTAAATAGGCCATGATTGGCAAAGGAAAACGTTCAAGTAGCGAAGGAACGGTGCGTTGTGAAGAAGGAGTTGCACAGATGGAGAAGAGGAAAGAGAAGGAACAGAGGGTGGATCAGTGTCCATTGATGGTTTGGTCTCTGCAATATATTCAGACTGCTTCAAGTGTTTCGGAGTTAGAGAGTGTATGGAGATAATATTGGAGATGGAAGGTGGAGGATTTTGGACAAAAGATCAGAGCTGAAAGGGGGGACTGTACCAAGGTGGGGGGGCAAAAGGGTGGAGGGAACTGGAGAAGTGTGGGAGGGGACAGAAGAGGCAGAAACCTGGGAGGTGGCAGAAAATTAAGAAACTTGAGAGGGGACAGGGGAGGAAGGCACAGTACGAGGAGGAGGATGAACCTCCACACTTGTAACGGAGCCAGTGAAAGGGGAAGACCTAGGTACAGAGACCGGGAAGGTAAAAAGTCGAGGTGGATGAAGGGAAGGAGGGGTTAAAGGAGATTTGTTGGACCTCTGAAAAGTAGAGGGACGATTGGGAGGTGGTGTCGTCCGAGGTCTTGTTGATACCAGGGTTTGTGAGGGAGAACATGAAGTGAGGACAGACTGAGGTGTTGGACGTCTGAGCCCAGGACAGCAAAAGAATTAGATATAGGAGTGACTATGGGACTGGCAACTGCAGAAGATGGGACCCCAGAAGTGGGGGGACGTTTTGAAACACGGGGAATAAGAAACACAGGGTAGTCTCCTTGGAGGCAGAGATGAGAAACTGCCATAGCATAAGGGAGACCTTCTGCCTCTTTGAGGCAACGAATTTTCCCGCACATTTAAGTAGACCTGGCAACGGCGAGAGTACGAAGGGCGAGCCTCATGACAATTAAGGCAAGAGGGAGGTTGACTGCAAGATGTATTAGAATGGTCATCGGCACCACAGACTGGGCATTCGCTATAGATCTGCAATATTTTGTGGGTGGCCAAATCGCCAGCAATTCCTACACTGTTGTGTAGGGGTCACCTTTGAAATTGTAACCTAGTCCTGCTACATAAACAGAGGATAGGAGTTCACGGCTGTCAAAAGTTTAAACGAGCCACATTGCGGTACGTCTTTGCCCGGGGGGGAAAAAACATAAGTGTCTACCTTGAGAATTGGGAGATCTTGGAGTTTCCAGCTGTTCGGAATGTCATTTTCCACATGTCTGGAAATCCTGTTGGATATGGTATGGGGCAGAAAACAAAATACCACTACAAGATTGAGGGAATGATGTTTTTCAATAGTGATAAGAATAGTATCGATATGTGAAAGAAGAGAAAGATCATGAGCTTGGGTAGAATTCTGGACTGTGATTATGCGCCTACCACTCTTAAGAGCATGAAAGGAAATATCTCTACCAACGTGGCGTAGGAGCGCTTTGCCAATACTATGGTCAGAAAGATAGGCAGTAGAAGTCAGTCGTAAAGTAAAGAATTTAGTCCATTGTGTGGTCCGAAACCGAGTGTGGAGAGGGAGTGCATGACGTGTCGGTCATTTCCGAGTAGAACGAGAAGGTAACGAAGTAACATCGTCAGGAGATTGTCGTTGGCTTTTAGAAGTGGGACCTGAGTCGGTCCGATTTGAGACGGGCTGGCGATTCGAAAATCGTCGCACCATAGAGGGAGAGGCCGGAAGCATAGTCAAAGGAGAGCGGAGGTCAGACAAATCGAAGGAGTCAGTGGAAGCCCTGGTACCAGAAGCGGGTGAGGAAACAGCACCAGCAAGAGGTCCAGGGGCCTTAGGAGTGTCCAAAAGACGAGGCGAGGTCAGAATAGGGTGCGGTAACAATAAGGGGCCCAGGGGTAGTGGGGTCATAGATTTGGGACTCCATGGTTAGGTTACCCCTTTTTTTTTTTTCTTAAAAACAAAAAGAAAGAAAAGAAACTAAAAATAAAAAAAAGAATAAAAGAAAAAGGATGACCGGGGAGGGATAGTTCCTCGGAGGAATGAAAGGGCCAGAAATCTCCCTCCGCGCCCAAGAGGACCTCAGCACCGCAAGTAGTGCAGATGCAGCATGAAACCCGTGCCATACCCTACCCTTCATGCCAGTAAACCAGCAATCCGGGATAGCAACCTCACATCTGCCGAGCTATCTCGGTGGATATCCGCCACAAAGCATACATCCTTCGGCCACCACCCCCGGAATCCGAAAGGTGGCTTCCAGATACACCCGTCGCCCGAAAGACACCCAAAGCCACCCTCCGGGATACCGGAGAGGGATCGGGACATCCCCAGGCGATCCAGATCCCACGGCAAACTACACCACCGCCAAGAACCTCAACGGAATAGGATGGACCCCGGTACCCCTCCCCCTTCCTATGAACTAGTGTGTCTGTGGGAAAAATCCCAAAGGCCAAAAAGAGGAAGGGCAAAAGGGAGGGGTGGGGAGGAGGAGGAAAGGAAAAAGGGGAGGATGGGATAGGGAAGGGGGGATTGGAGGGTAATTGGGTTTGGTCTGAGGAAGGAGACCAACAGGTCTAATTCCTCAGACCAAGAGCCTCTTCACCACGCTAAGGAGCCCCCTCTTGAAGAGGTTCAACTCCCAAGTATATGAAAACATTTTCTTCCACACTCCCTCTCCCATGTGATATCCAATTTTTCTTTATCTAAATCATTAGATACCCTCATCACCTTACTATTATCTATGTTCACTCTCAACTTTTTACCTTTACACACCCTCCCAAACTTCTCTAACCTTTGCAACTTTTCTTTAGAATCTCCCATAAGCACAGTATCATCAGCAAAAGCTAACTGTCAACTCCCATTTTGTACACAGACATATACAGATATTATCAAAATTAGCAAATATCCACCGTACCGATACTTTAGTGCATCCAGTTGAAAATAATACACAAATGTAAGTAGTAACTGTATTTATGATTAAGACTTTAATTAATCAAAAGGTAAAAGCCTTATACTATTTAAAATATATTGGAAAAATATACTAATATTGTCTAATATAACAGAATTGTTAAACTCAAGAATGATTCCTGATTGCTATGTGGAAACTCTGGAATCTACGTGTCTTGGTCATCAATCTTGGGAGCCAAGAAGTATTGTATCTGGCCAATGTCGCCAATAGAATACTCAACAACTAAAGGGACATCCGGTGACATTGAAAGTGAAACCTGTGAAGAAAATCTTGTTAAAACACAATAGAGATTAATGTAAACCTTCATGAATGCCACTTCAGCACAATATGATCAGCCATATACACACCAAAAAATATATATATTACAAACATATATCATTATTTAACATGTTTATGAATATACATGATAAAAGAAAACAAAGTTATACTTGAGGTGATAGTGGAGTGGCCTTTGTGAACATGTTGAGATAACGACAAGCAAAGGTTAAAGTGACAGGCTCCTGCATTTCAATAATGACAGCTTCTTCCTCCTTGTCAACACTTGACGTTTGTGCAAGCTGAGGACAAAAAGTAATACAAATGACCATTTCTATATAATCAATACAAAATTCAATCTAATAATTTAAGAGCATCTATTTTGTGCTACTAATACCATTTTTGTATACATCTGAGTTACACAAGGCATTAATTTGATTACCAGATATCCCAACTTCAAAAACCAAAATCAGCAATATCTCAAAAAAATCAACCTTACTCTTTCACAAAACTAGACTACATATCCATGCTGTACTCCATTAATATTAAATAAATGTGATAATTAATCCAAAGAAAAATGAAAATGGAACAAGATTTCCACAATAAACAAAAATACATTACCAACTTAAGTACTAATTCCAAATCAGTCATACAATACAGGTGGATATGTGGAAATAGAAATGCATGGTTGTGAGTGAGGGGTAAGGGGTTAGTGAAAGTAAAATATAAATCATAGTGGATGCAGTAGGTTAGCTAGTTCTAAAATGTCACCAACAAAGGAGGGACTAAGTGAGGTCAGTTAGTATTGAGGTGGTGTAGGTATCAGAGGTGAATCCCATGTGCATGCTGATAAACAGAACAATCTGTTAAGATATGGTAGACAGTTTTAACAGAACAGCAATATTTTCCAATCCCCCCCCCCCCCACTAATAATTTAGCTTTTTAGGAGTTTAGCCAGAATAAGGATCTAAACTGAGCTATTAATACAAGTTTCAAGACACCATTTTTAAACTAACAAAAATTATTTTTCTAAATCAGATTTTTTTTCCTTCAAGATTGCCAAAACCAGCCTATACATAACTAAATTCAATATTAAACTAGTCAGGCCAACCTTACACAATAGACAGAATAAAGGAACAGTACTTTGCCATGAAATTTGGTAAAACTAGGTTGCTAAAATTTCATGAAAACATGAACACTCCTAGACCATTTTAATTCACCAGATATGCATGTCAACTAAAGCTAAAACATGAGATGAAAGAAGCCTACTTACCTTGATGTTTCCAGTGCCAATGTCACCAGCAGCAGAAAACTTTACACCTTCTTTTGAACAAGCAATTACAATACTTTCACCAAAATTACTGAGATCCCTGCAGATGCGAGCAAATTCTCCTGAAGGAAGTTTGATCACACATGCGTAATCAGTTTCCTGTAAAAAGCCAATCTATTAATGTCTCCCAAGTAAATTTAGAAGAGTAATAAAAAAAATTATCACATTGTAAGTTGCCACATTTGGCTCCACTTTGTGGTCAGCAAGAAGGGAGCTTCTACACAAGACGGGCAGCAAACGGCAGCTACACTCTGGTGGTACCCTTCTCATGAACACCATTCATCCAAGATACTATAGTTTATTCCTAGGATGAAGTCTGGAACACGTTCAAACAGCATAATGACACTGATGATAAAGTCTAATCAAATGAAATTACTGGCACACAGATGGCTCCAATTTCATCCTATTTTCTATTTGCAAGTCTCACAACAAAAAGGCTTGTAAATGAGCTGATGTAAGTAACGGCTATGCCTGTAAATTAAGGTAGGCACTCTTAACCTAACCCTGTAAAAACCCATGAGATAAAGAGAAAGCCCAATTTCCCATGGACTCGAAGGGCCTAGACTGCAGAACATGCTAAGAAATCTTAAATGGCTAATTAACCAAAACCAGAATAGCTAAGGACCCAGGCAAAATTTTATTTTACTGGAGCATATTAAGAGCTGGACAAAATCAACATTTAAAAGCAAATGAGATGGGGATGTGAATAAACTAATTTGGATTGCTTTTAATGCACTTGAAGAAGCAAGACTAACAAATGAAGATATAGCAGCAGAGAAAGGACTCTGGGCATACAAGACTTGCAAACACAGATCTACATTCATGTGCATAGCGCTCCGAATGTAGATCTATGTTTATTTACACTTTCAAATGGGGAAAATAAAGGTCGGAGTGCTATGCACGTGAACGTAGATCTATGTTAGGACAGTTTAAGGGTTAAGAGAACAAGAACCATCTTTCAGCAAGAACCTATCAGACATACAGAAAAAGAAGGAATGGAAAAGCTGAATATAGAAGCATACAAAGTCTGCAATATGTACCATTGAGAAAATGAGAAACCCAAATAAAAAGAGCATAGAAAATGTATATTAGGAAAAGGGTTACCGTACTGATTTAAAACATATTTGTCAACAAAGGAAAGATTATCTAAGCAGAGAAATTACAAAGATAGAAACAACTGAAGCTGTTGTACCAGACAGAAGCACAAAGGGAACAAAATCATTCAGGACATTAAAAAAACCTCCAAATGTGAACCAGCTTGTGATGGACATGTGGGTCAGCAGATTGCCAGTAACAACAGCATGGTTGACCAGGCAAGCCTGGTCCAGGGCAAGGCTTCAAGTAGGAAAACCCATCAAAGGTATATAAAAGGCAAAGTGGAGGACATCAGCAAGAAAAAAAAATAGCAGTGAAAGCACTAACTATAATAGTTCCACTTTCAAAATACTATCAAGAAAAAAGAGCTATGCATACCACCATTAGAATCTGATGCCCCTAGTGCATACAGCAGAAGCAGCAACAATACTATTTGAGAGTACTGAAGCCAATGTACATGATGTTAAACATTAAAAGCAATTAAAACAAAATAATAATTTGGCATCAATAAATTTTAAAAAAATTGTTAGTGCATTTATGCTGCTGTTGCTAACGAGTGATCATTTTTTTTGCTAACATCAACACACTAAAATCTTAAGCTTTTACTTATCAGATTCCACTCATTTTTATCTTAATTCATAAAAATGTACTCTTTCACTAATATTTCTCATGGGTATACCAGAGTTTAGGGGTTAACACCAAACAGAACACAGTCATATCAGACAAAAAAGGCAACATTGGGTTTTGAAAGTTTAGTCACACACTGAAGTTTACCTGGATATTGTTACAAAGATACAGTAATTTTTGTACAGTACTCCCTAACAATGTGCTGTACATCACTAGATCTTAAGTTTTAAGTAAAATAAATTTTTTGCTTAATTAAAATAATGTAAGAGGGACACATGCATGTGACTATTCACAAATTTTATCATTCAAGAGTTTTCTCCTTTTGGGAAGATAATGAACAATAACCCAGTATAATCATTTAAGCATTAAATCCATATGGTCATTTCTGGGATGACAGGTTAAGCAGATACATCCAACATTTAATTAACAATCTGGACATGAAAAATATTTATGTGCAAATCCTGTATACACAAGTTTAAATATATATATAAAAAAAAAAAAAAATGGAGAAAAAGCAAGTTGTACAATACTCACTGGAATGCCTAAGTGATCTTGATCAAGATTCATAAGTTTCATTTCATAGTCAGACACCTTTTCCTGACTGGGTGACTCAAATATGAAGGTAACAGTGTCTGCATTGTCTTGTGCTTTCATGGTGATGATGTCATCATTAGCAGCACACTTCAAAATTTTTGACATACTGAAATAAAAAGTAGTTAATAAACCTTAAAACAGCACAATTACCACCACTTCTCATCAACATGTCATTGGGGCAAAGCAATGCAGGTCACAAAATGGTCAAAGTACCAGTACATGGTACAGGTATATGCAAAATCTTTACCTAGTTCCACACAAAAATCAGGATGTATAACTAGTAAAATAAAGATTACAGGCTAAGTCATAAAAATTTAATAATAGTTACTACAAAATTTGATAGTTCTAAGCATATTAACACTGCATGCAAATACAACAAAATAGAAAAGTTAAGCAATGTTGCCACTTTTTTATTACAATGTATAGCAGGGGCATTAAATTTTTCAAAGTGAGCCACATGAATAGAAACCAGTTAACCACAAACATTTTACTGACAATGGTGATGCAGAGCAAGTTAATTACTATACAAGGTTTATTTGATAAATAAAAAAGAAAAGTTCAGGAGTTGGTTTGGCCCTGCTAGACTGGTAGTTCACATACTTACCAATTAGTAACTACAGGAGCAGCTATGCTTGTGATGCATCTTGCTTTAATACATGTAATTTGTTCACAGCAGATTTTAAAATTTCCAAATGGTTGTAGCACTTACTACATCCTTTTAATTCATTACAGTGGTCTATCACACCAAGAGAATTATTCTAGTATCCTTGAATCTCCATTTTTTCTCAATTTACAACCATAACTAGTTATTCCTGTTGTGGATAGGAGAAAACTCTCAATATTTGTCCTTTTATGACCTGTTATGTGGTTGTCATCTCTTCCTCCTATCAGCCTGCATGGTTATCATTAGTACTTTCAGCTCTTCATAACTTACTTTTTAATTCAACCACTTCGTAGATCTTTGGACTATTTCTAAATGATCCATTTTTTTTTTTAGGTGTGGGCAACAACTCTGCTACACATTTACCTCTTCATATAAAAGTTATCAAGCCATTTTGTTTATATGATCTAGAGACAATTTTTTGTTAATTCTTAGGTCCTGCTCAGACACTTTCAAAATTTTATCAGTTGATATTACTCTTGTAATGATTAACACTATTATTTACCATACCTAATAGTTTTGCATCTACAAGCATTAGTAATTACAGTGGTACCCCGAGTTTCGAACCTTCTTTCCAGAGGGCTGTTTGAGTGCCGTTACTGAGCGAATTTACAGTGGACCCCCGCATAACGATGGCATCGCATAGCGATTTTTCCGCATAACGATTACTTTTATCGCAAAATTTTTGCCGCGCATACCGATTAAAAACCCGCATACCGATTTTCGTCCGAGACGCGTCCAATGTGCCCTCAGCCAGCCTCACATGTGCCGCTCCGTCCCATTGTTTACCAGCCAGCCTCCGCGGTAACATCCAAGCATACACTCGGAATATTTCGTATTATTACAGTATTTTCGGTGCTGTTTCTGGAAAATAAGTGACCATGGGCCCCAAGAAAGCTTCTAGTGCCAACCCTGTGGTAAAAAGGGTGAGAATTAGTATGGAAATTAAGAAAGATTTTGAAGGGTTTGGGGCTAACCTGAGAAGCCTATGCCAGTTGTGGAATCCATTGTGCCTACTTCAAAGATTAAGGAAATGTGTGCACAGTGGGTTGAACTGCAAACCTTTATAGATGAAAATCACCCTGACACAGCTGTTGCAAGCCGTGCTGGTGACTATTTCAATGACAATGTTGTGGCCCATTTTAGACAAATCGTAAAGGAACGGGAGGTACAGAGCTCTATGGACAGATTTGTTGTGCGACAGAGGTCCAGTGACTCTCAAGCTGGTCCTAGTGGCATTAAAAGAAGAAGGGAAGTAACCCCGGAAAAGGACTTGCTACCTCAAGTCGTAATGGAAGGGGATTCCCCTTCTAAACAGTAAGAAGATAATGCTCTCCCCTCCTCCCATCCCATCAATCATCACCAGATCTTCAATAAAAGTAAGTGTCATTTAATTGTGCATGCCTTTTTCAGTTTGTGTGTATTAAAATTAACATTTCATGTGGTAAAAAAAAATTTTTTTCATACTTTTGGGCATCTTGCACGGATTAATTTGATTTCCATTATTTCTTATGGGGAAAATTCATTCGCATAACGATTATTTCGCATAACGATGAGCCCTCTTGCACGGATTAAAATCGTTAACCGGGGGTCCACTGTATTCCCATAATGAATAATATAAATTAGATTAGTCCATTTCAGACCCCCAAAAATACACTTACATACATAACTGGTTGAGCTGGGAGCAGTTCGAAACTCGGGGTGCCACTGTATTTATTCTTACACGTCCAGTTAGATGGACTATTCCTGGAAGTGGAAAAACTCAGTGACTGCACTCTGGAGGGGTGGAGATAATGTTGTTCAGAAAGTTATCCAAGCTGTGATGCCAGCAAACTTCTGGGAAGATAGAAACTGAATAGCTGAAATTGTTTCTTTTTCAAGTCACCCCACCTCAGTGGGAGTCGGTCAGTGTGTAAAGACACTTATACAAATTAAAAATAGTATTGAGGCAAAGTAGAGATCCTTGTGGTACTCATTTGTGACATCTTACTATGACATTTTTCCTCTTAACTGTTCGTTTCTCAAATTCCTCTCATCTGTTTTGAAGTTTCAAAATTAGTATCGTATGGAACGTTACCCAAAACTTTTTATTCTAAATAAATACAATCTGCCCATCCATTTTTCCTGAATGTATGACTATCATAATAGCTTAACTGCCTAGAGATATACAGGAACTTCCAGACCAATTGCCTGGAGTTCATTTGTCACTAGGTTATTCCTCTGCAAGTGTTTTCACCACTAATGACTTTGAATGAAACCAGTATAGTTTTAAAGGGTCTTCCATGTCACTTTTATTGTCAACATATTTCACATGTTAGCCATGATGCCACAGACTTCAAATACTGTCAGGTCAGCAGAGTTAAACCAGCTATGTTGCCCCGTGGTGAAGGGGAGTCAGTCAGACACGTACCCTCAGACAGACAGGACATAAGACTGCAGACTGGGCTTCCTACCACCTTTATTCTCAACACACCAGTATAATCGTCTCAGTGACTTATCATTCATTTATTCTCCACCTAAGAACCATTTCAACATTGTGTCATTTTCCTTCCTGAAGTGAAATCTTAAATTTTCTAAAGTGGATAACTCGATCTCGCAAACATTCTTTTAAAACCCATGGTGCTATCTCATGTGGTCCTACAGCCCTTTTTGTCAACATCTTGTAATAATTTCTTCATGGCCTCTTTAGCTATTTCAATATGCTCTTGACTCGCTTATCCATTTAAATAAAAAATCCAGTAGTATTTTACCTTTGATATGCCTGTACATGCAAAATATTTGTTAAGCAACATGTCATGCCCCATGGCCTGGTGGCAAGAGCTCTCACTTCACATGCTGAGGGTCTGGGTTTAATTCCTGGCAAGGGTTGAAACATAGGGTGTGTTTCCTTACACCAGTTGTCTATGTTCACCTATCAGTAAAATGGGGGTACCTGGGTGTTAGTCAACTGGTGTGGGTCGCATCCTGGGACAAAACCGACCTAATTTGCTCGAAATGCTCTGCATAACAAGCAGCTTTCTATACAGTAGTATGTCATTGTTGTCTGCTAGGCCTGGATACCCTGCACATGTACTTGCAGAAATAAAAATATTTTGAGATGCAAAATAAGTATTGCATGACTGAGCACCTACAGTTCATTGGCCAATTCCAATTTGCTTTTAATAAGAGCTCTCCTAAAATTGATATACCACACTGGCTGATATCTCCAAAATTAACAATTTACAAGATAAATAACTAATATTGCCATAGTATTGGGTGACCAATTATAATAAATGGGAAGAGTTAATCCCATTGGGCTCTCTATTACACCAAGGAAATGGGAGAATCTGGTTCAATCTGAAGGAGGGGGCAGGTTTAATTCCTTGAATCAAGGGCCCTGCACTGGCATTAATGCACCTCCCTGGAAGGGCGAGAATGAAACTTCCCTACAAAGATTATACTACAAACACTTAAATATACACCCATGAAAAGGTATATAAAAAAATGACTAAAACTGTGGACAGACAAGAGTGGGTGCTACTTTAGTGTGCGGTCTACCAGCTCATTTACACTTTAGCGTGCAGTTAGGTTAGGTTAATCTAACCTAACTACACACTAAAGTGTAAATGAGCTGGTAGACTGCATACTAAAGTAGCGCCCAAAAGTGACGTAAAAAATGCATGTAACAGTCACCACCTTTACCAAAGTAGACGACTGGCCAGAAGTCTGATGCATTCCTACTGGCAGAGTTCTCACACAGTGAGAACTCTTATTTTTATTAACTCTTATTTTTGTTTTAACAAGTCACTAAACCTGCTGCCTGATTTTTGTTATTTATAAAATTTGGGCCTCACCAGATGAACTATACATAAGAAACAAGGACATGACACATTGTGTAGCCACTGACTGCCTTAAAACTGAGTAATGAATGCTGCACACTAAAACTGGTTTGGCACAAGATGAACAACCACTTCAATCACAATTTTGCATGGGTATACTAGATATAATAACACGCAAATAATTTTGGACATGTACTAGGCTGGGAGCAGTGTAGCCTAGTTTATTAAGACGTGCACAGTGAAGACATTTTATACCTATTAGATAAAGCCTTAATTTTCTTTGCCCCCCCACCCTGAAAATAGGGTGTAATCTAGTTTATATCTTCCTTGAGATAAATTCAACCACACTGGATTTATTAAGCATATTTAATGCAAGACAAAGTGGCTCAACTGACAGCATACTCAGTTCACATACTGTGTCCAAGGTTCAATCCCAGGCACGGGTGACACGGTCATCTTACACCTGCTGTGTCTGTTCACCTAGGATAACCCTCCCCCCAAAAATAGTCATTGACTTATTTCTATTGTGGGTGGCATCCTGAGGAACCAAATTAAAGCACCACAATAGGAATACGACAGACAGCCCAAGATGACGGAATGACTTTCTTTGGGTATCTTTTTTTTTTTCTTTATCCCGGAGGGATAAAGAAAAAAGTTTATTAGGGTCTCAAAACCACCCCACCCACTATTCAGCTTGTGTAAACAAACCCACATCACACACCTGGTAAGATCCATGCCCATTATAAGGTTTCTGTCGCATCTGTATTTGTCAAAGCCCTCAGCCCGTAGGTTGACAGAGACCAGGGACACATGAGAGTTATCCATGGCCTGAAGTTGGATACCAGAGTCTGCACAGTCCCATGACGCTTCATTCAGCAGCTCCTTGATAGCATCCAGCACCTTCTTCAGCAAACTTCCTTGGACAAGACGAGCCTCAAACATTTCGGTGGATTTCAGCTATTAAAACGACGAACAGAGGAAAATACTTCCGCGTGCAGCTTTCCTACGTCACCGCAACACGTTACCACCTGCCTCTATGTTTTCGCGCGTTATACAATGGTTCAACAATCAGAATTTGCGGGAAGGACTGTCATTGGTGGAGCCTCCTGCCTCGCACGCTGATTGGCTCTCCACACTCAATGTATGAAAACCTATAAGATTAAACGCAACAGCAAAAAAAATAGTACGCTTAAAGTATTTCCAGTGTTATTTACAACAATAAATATTCTAAAACTTTTACAAAATATTAACTCATGCGCTTTATTAAAATAGGGTGAATAATTCAACTTTATTCTTTTGCATAACAAATATAGGGTCAGTTTGTTTTCTAGAATTCTCATACTTTTAGGTCATATGAGTATACAAATAATGACACTTAGCTATTTTTCTCTATTATACAAGCTCATATAACCTAAACTTTTACTACTTTATTAAAAATTAAATAACATTTTATAAACAGCCAACTGAATGTTGGACATTAGATTCTTATTTGAGTGTGTCAATTGGCGGGACTTCAAGCCAAGAATTCATCAGTCGTCTGCTCGCTTCAGATCTAGCGGGTGGGGCAGGCAGGCGGGGCTTGATAGTGTCGTGTTGTTTTGTGAGAGGTTCAGTGTAGAAGGCGGTAGTTAATTCGCCTTTTCTTCTTGTTCGACCGTCAAACCTTCATACAGTAGCCATGTCGGTTATGACAATTAAGCTATCGAAACCCGAGGGTGCGTCCTGGGGCTTCAGGCTGCAGGGTGGCAAAGATTTTGCGACACCTCTCTGTATTCAGAAGGTAAGATAAGTTAGCATTAATTATATGTCCAGCATCTTTATATTACAAAAGAATACAACTGCATGTATAATATAGAATTTTGCTTACTGAATACATGAATTTAAATAATTCGTGAATGACTATAAATGAGCGCGTTTGGGTCTCTGTTTCAACTTTGCGACTTTGCCAATGCTACTAAGAATAGAATTTTAGGGTATAAATGTTTTAGTATCTCTCATAAACTTTATATTCAAAATATAATGATAGCAAGAATGCGTATTAAGATGAAATAGTGAGTGGAGGCGAGTGTAAGGAAGTGCCGTGGAGTACTGCCATTTAAGGAAGTGGTGGCGGCGGTGTGGTGTCATCTTCACCCTGGCTCCTGCTAGCATGGCACTCCCCTCCCCCCCACTCATACCCTCCCCCCTCTCATACCTTCCCCTCTCATCCCGTCCCCCTTACTCCAAGAGTGCACTTACGCACTCATAGATAAAGATTTCTTATCTGGTAAACTGAGGAAAACTGGGACGTGAGGGATACTAGACATTTTATTTTCGCAAGTAGTGGTTCACCATTGGAATGATTTAAAGGGCGGTAGTAAGCGCTACAATAGACATTTAAAAAATATATACATATGAAAAAATATTAAATGGTATATACCACGAGCATAGCATTACTCCCGTAGCTACAAATAGGTAATTACACGCGTGCACACACGTGTAAACACACTTAAACATACACAACAGGGGGCACTGACGAGTACTGGAAGTCATCCATACAACAAGGGAAGAAGTAATTGTCTAAACCATTATGATCTACAGTAAGTCAATGGATACGGGACAGTTACCCGAGAACTGGAAGACAGCAAATACAGCTCCTCAATTTAAGAAAGGAGACACACAGGAGCCGTTAAACTACAGACTAGTTTCACTGACATGCATACCTTGCAAGGTAATGAAACTTATCGGGGGAAAGTGGTGGAACACCTGGGGAGGAGTGGTCTCGTGAATAATAACCAGCATGGTTTTAGGGATGGCAGATCGTGTCTTGCTAACTTGGAGTTTTGTAACAAAATAACGTGTGACGAGAGGAAGGGAGGGTTGGGTGTATTGCATTGTTTTTAGACCAACAAGGCGTTTGATACTGTACGCACAAGAGGCTGGGCCAAAAACTTGCTATGCAGACGGAAATAATAGGACGCTTACTCAGGCGAGTCAGAGTATCTTAGGGAAATAAAACTGATTCAGAAAAGACATCAGAATGGGGAAGAGTAACTAACATGGTTCTGCAAGGATCGGTATTAGGACCAGTATTGTTTCTGGTTTGTAAATATTCCAGATGGGATTGATTCAGATATCCCTGTTTACTGATGTAAGACTGGTGAGAGTAAAAGCAGATGAAGACAAAAACAGACAAATGTCAGAAAAGTGGTAGCTTGAATTCATCCCTAATGCAAGGTCAAGAAGATTGGGGAAGTAGCAAGAAGACTGGAAACGGGGTAAGAATTAGGGGGACAGGCTGCAAACTTCACAAAGGTAGACCTAGGGGTGAGTCAGAGGCTCTCATCAGCCAAATAACCTCTGCAGCCAATGCTCGTCTAGAAAATCTAAGAGTAGCCTTGAAGAATCTAAACAGTCTTTCTGGGCCCTTTATACAACTTACGTTCAGGCCCATCTTGGAGTATGCAGCACCAGTACGGAACCCGTAACTGAAAAAAAAGTATATTAAGAAACTGGAGAAAGTGCAAAAGTATGCAACAATGTTTGCTCCTGAGCTATGGGGCATTAGCTACGAGGAGAGGCTAATGGAATTAAATAATGTCATGGCTGACGAGAATTAGTAAAGTTGACAGCGCTAGGCTGTTTGAGAGGAAGGATTATTATTATTATAATCATGGGGAAGCGCTAAACCCGTAGGATTATACAGCGCCTGTGGAGGGGATAGAAGGTATTCAGGGTTATTTCAGGAAACTGGAGCACAGATCCAGTTCCCTAGATCAAGAGCCCCTCACCACCATCAAGGAACCTTGAGGAGTTGAGAGGAAGGAAACTAACACCTTGGGTAGTCACACATGAGCCACAGGGATGTTTTGAAGTATTTCGTCAGCCCCAAAGTGGTCGGGAAGTGGAATGGACTTGAAGCGGCGGAGGCAGCCTCCGTATAAAGTTTTAATAATAATAATAATCTTCTGTAAGTACATATCAGCTAGGCCTGTATACCTTGTACATCAATGACATACTACTATACAGAAAGCCATTTGTTATGCAGAGCATTTCGGGCAAATTAGGTCAATTTTGTCCCAGGATGCCACCCACACCAGTCGACCGACACCCAGGTATCCATTTCACTGATGGGTGAACATTGGACAGCAGGTGACTTAATGAAACATGTTCTAATGTTTGCAGCCGTACCAGGGATCGACCCCCGGACCTCAGTGTTTGAGCTGAGTGCGCTAGCAATCGAGCTATGGGACACTGTAGCTACGATAGGACCCACGAGGCTAAGAGGGGTGAATCTGGAGAGTGGCAAGTTAAGAGGCAGGGCTAGGATCTGAGAACCGACCCCAGCAACCACAAATAGGTGAGTACGCATCCAAATGCACCCCTTTCCTACCTACCTACCTCCTTCACTTTAGACAGGTAGTGGAAATCTGAAGTGGGAATATTGCATGCACAAAACTTACACAGGAAGAGTACATTGATGCAGGACAACATTGAAAATTCTTGTGGAAATGGTAATTAACGGTAGAAAACCTAAATACACGTTGCCAGAGGAGCAGGAAGAGGAGACAAGTTAATGACGCTAGAAATACTGTGGGATATGGTAATGGTAGACATGGATAAACTTAAATTTGGGATTATCTGCATTTTGTAATGAAGGAACACTGAAGCCGTACACGGAAACGTACGATTATATAAATTATTTTTTTAATGTAATAGTGAAGTGAAAATGAGTTAGGTAGCTAATATTAGCAGACTCCAAATGCAGATTCAAAATCCAGTGTTTTTTATTGTAAGTGAAAGGGAAGTGAAAAGCTAAAAAAAACAAGGTGGAAAAATACAATAAGGCTGTAGTGCAAGGATATACCATCTTCAGTGACTGCTGTAAGCGTAATATGTTAATTGGTTGGCGATAACTTAATATATATTTTTTAGTTAATTAAGATCGTAGATCGGCAAGAGAAAATAGCTGTGTTGAGGGATTCATATTAACTTGGATTGTGATGCTTGGTGTAATGGCGGTAGTTTTAAATTAGGATGATTTCCAACTTCCTTCATTACGATGGTACGAATCCAGGGACGAGTAACTACCTCGTTGTCCACTGTTATCAGTATTGTTGGAGATGGGCATCAGAATTCTTGTTGAGAAAGCCTTGCAGGTCAGTTGAGATTTGGAGAGAGGGTGGAAGAGACTATCATTCATAGTATGTTATCTGATAACGGTGATGAGTAGAGGCAGTTACCTTAGTGGTGGTGGAAGCTGCTACAGCACTAGGGGCAAGTATCTTGGTCATGAGAGGTAGGGTGGCGAAGACTTCTGGCGGAGGCTGTCCTCGTCCTGGTGGCAGGTGGTGTGGCGGAGGCTGTCCTCGTCCTGGTGGCAGGTGGTGTGGCGGAGGCTGTCCTCGTCCTGGTGGCAGGTGGTGTGGCGGAGGCTGTCCTCGTCCTGGTGGCAGGTGGTGTGGCGGAGGCTGTCCTCGTCCTGGTGGCAGGTGGTGTGGCGGAGGCTGTCCTCGTCCTGGTGGCAGGTGGTGTGGCGGAGGCTGTCCTCGTCCTGGTGGCAGGTGGTGTGGCGGAGGCTGTCCTCGTCCTGGTGGCAGGTGGTGTGGCGGAGGCTGTCCTCGTCCTGGTGGCAGGTGGTGTGGCGGAGGCTGTCCTCGTCCTGGTGGCAGGTGGTGTGGCGGAGGCTGTCCTCGTCCTGGTGGCAGGTGGTGTGGCGGAGGCTGTCCTCGTCCTGGTGGCAGGTGGTGTGGCGGAGGCTGTCCTCGTCCTGGTGGCAGGTGGTGTGGCGGAGGCTGTCCTCGTCCTGGTGGCAGGTGGTGTGGCGGAGGCTGTCCTCGTCCTGGTGGCAGTGGTGTGGCGGAGGCTGTCCTCGTCCTGGTGGCAGGTGGTGTGGCGGAGGCTATCCTCGTCCTGGTGGCAGGTGGTGTGGCGGAGGCTGTCCTCGTCCTGGTGGCAGGTGGTGTGGCGGAGGCTGTCCTCGTCCTGGTGGCAGGTGGTGTGGCGGAGGCTGTCCTCGTCCTGGTGGCAGGTGGTGTGGCGGAGGCTGTCCTCGTCCTGGTGGCAGGTGGTGTGGCGGAGGCTGTCCTCGTCCTGGTGGCAGGTGGTGTGGCGGAGGCTGTCCTCGTCCTGGTGGCAGGTGGTGTGGCGGAGGCTGTCCTCGTCCTGGTGGCAGGATGTGTGGCGGAGGCTGTCCTCGTCCTGGTGGCAGGATGTGTGGCGGAGGCTGTCCTCGTCCTGGTGGCAGGATGTGTGGCGGAGGCTGTCCTCGTCCTGGTGGCAGGATGTGTGGCGGAGGCTGTCCTCGTCCTGGTGGCAGGATGTGTGGCAGAGGCTGTCCTCGTCCTGGTGGCAGGATGTGTGGCGGAGGCTGTCCTCGTCCTGGTGGCAGGATGTGTGACGGAGGCTGTCCTCGTCCTGGTGGCAGGATGTGTGACGGAGGCTGTCCTCGTCCTGGTGGCAGGATGTGTGGCGGAGGCTGTCCTTGTCCTGGTAATGACAGGTGTAATGGACGCTGTGCTGCATAACAAGGGGCTGTCTATAAAGCAGTTTATACATGTCAGTTGTATACTGCACTCTAATTCATGGAAAAAGTTGGGATATTTTTTTGTCCTGTTTACCTGAAGATTTCATGGAGTTGAGTTCGGGAGTCATGGCCAGTTTCTAGACCAGACCTCAGGTTGCTGACCTGATCGACCCAGCTGTTGCTGCCAGCTCCACGTAGTCCAGCGCATACATTACAGCACGGATTGAAATTACCTTCTGAAGGCCGCCAGGGGGTTTGTTGGGAATTCCCATTAC